CTAGTAATATTACAACAGCTAAACATAACAATAATAGCTGAGAACTTGGTCATATTAAACTGTATTTTTGTATTTTAAATATTTTTGCTTTAGTGCTTGTGCATATGCAGATCCACATTTGATTTGACACAGACACACATTATTTTTATGTTAAATAAGGGCAATTTTGAGGATAAGATTTTCAAAGGACTGGTGACAACAGGTTTTATCTGGGATACATGGAACGTGGGATGTATGCGGAGACTCGAAGGAAGGTGCAGGTGTACGGCAGAAGGGTTAATCACCTGGGCAATCTTGTATGGGCCAATGAATCTTGGAGACAACTTACGAGGCATTCCCTTGAGGGGAATGTCCCGGGTGGAAAGCCATACCTCCTGACCAATGACGTACTCTGGGGCAGGGCGTCTCTTGGAGTCCGCAAAGCGCTTGGTAGTCACAGAAGATCGGTTGAGAGAGGCGATGGTGTCCCTCCAGACTCGTTGACAGCGGCGGATGTTGTGATTGACAGATTGAACCGAAATCTCTCTCTCGTCTGCTGGTAAAAGAGGAGGTTGATATCCGAGACTAACCTGGAATGGTGATTGACCGGTGGAAGCAGACTTGAGGGAGTTGTGGGCATATTCGATCCATGTGAGGAATTGACTCCAGTCAGTGGGATTGTTGGAGGTCAGACAGCGGAGAGTCGATTCGAGCTGTTGGTTCATTCTCTCTGTCTGACCGTTGGACTGTGGATGATAACCAGAAGTAAGTGATGACTTCCAATTCAGAGCTGCGCAGAAAGCCTTCCAGACTTGCGAGATAAACTGTGGTCCGCGGTCAAAGAGAATTTCCTGGGGTATTCCATGGAGTCGGAAAACATGCTTCACTAGGAGCTGGGCAGTTTGAAAGGCCGTGGGAAGTTTCCTGAGGGGGATCAGATGACATGACTTCGAAAATCGGTAAATGGTAAAAATAGTTGACATACCTCTGGAGATAGGGAGACCAGTGACAAAATCGATGGCGATGTGAGACCAGGGACGAGTAGGAACAGGAAGAGGATGCAACAGGCCAGAGGGTGGTTGATGTGAAGTCTTGTTTCTGGCGCATATGGAGCAGGCCAAAACATACTCCTTCACATCCTTGTGCAACGTAGGCCACCAGAAACGTCTAGAAATCAAGGCGATTGTACGGCTCACCCCCGGGTGAGCGGAAAACTTGGCTGTGTGCATCCATTGAATCAGGCGGGATCTGACAGACGAAGGGACATAGGTTCTGTTAGGAGGACCGTTACCTGGGTCAGGTTCAGAAGCCAAGTCAGAGTTTATGAGATCGGAGATCTCCCAGGAAACCACTCCAACAGTACAGGAAGCTGGAAGAACGGGTTCAGGCGTCTCGGATTGATCAACAGAGTATAGACAAGAGAGAGAATCGGGTTTGATGTTCTTGGATGTTCTTTGATGTTCTTGTCTGTAAGAAATAATGAGGTTGAACCGAGAGAAAAACAGAGACCACCTTGACTGACGAGGGTTAGCTTGTTTGGCGGATTGGATGTATGCAAGATTTTTGTGATCAGTCCACACTAAGACTGGGTGTTCAGCTCCCTCGAGCCAGTGTCTCCACTCCTCCAATGCAAGTTTGATGGCCAGAAGTTCTCGGTCCCCAACGTCGTAGTGTTGTTCCGCTGGTGAGAGTCTACGGGAGAAAAATGCACAGGGGTGAAGTCTTTGATCAGAGTCGAGTTGTTGGGATAACACGGCACCCACACCAGAGTCCGAGGCGTCCACCTCGAGGATAAATTGCTTGGCAGGATCAGGCTGGATTAACACAGGAGCTCTGGAAAACAAAGTCTTTAATTTTTCAAAAGCATTTTGTGCTTCTGGAGTCCATTAGAAGGTCTTTTTGACTGATGTTAGAGTTGTGAGAGGTAGAGCTGTCTGACTATAATTCCTGATGAAACGACAGTAGAAGTTGGCAAAACCCAGGAATCTCTGCAGCTGTTTTCGATTCTCAGGTGTCGGCCAATCCAAAACTGCCTTTATCTTTTCTTCAGATGGCTTAACCTGCCCGCCCTCGAGCACAAACCCTAAAAAGATGACAGAAGGTTGATGAAACTCGCATTTTTCATGTTTCTTACTGTATGCTTGGAAAGGTTCTTGGAATAGATTAAAATGTCGTCAATGTATACAAACACGAAAATATTCAGAAAGTCTCTGAGGACATCATTGACGAGCACTTGAAAACATGCAGGAGCGTTAGTGAGACCAAAAGGCATAACCAGATATTCAAACTGGCCCAAAGGGGTTTTAAAGGCTGTCTTCCATTCGTCAC